CTCAATTCATAGAACCGACCATACACTCGCTCATCCCTAACGCCCAGTAAGAGCATCATTGGTTCCCCATCTCCATCTATTCTGCAGTTGCCAAAGTCAGTCCCTTAACACTCCCTGCCTTAAGGAACTCACAGCCGAGCAGAGGGCCCAAAATACCAGCACTCAATGCAATGCTTACAGGAGGGACCCTGGGCTGCAAGAGTATGTAGAAGGGTTGGATTAGGGGCAATGGGAAGGTTCCCAACAGGCACCCAATAATCAGGAACGAAGGTGACATAGTACACAGGTTGGGGATGTAAGCATGGTGGGTCGCAAGAATAATGCCAACGCCAGAGAGATTGCAAAAGCCAGAGTCAGGTGCGGTTCCAGGTGGCAAGCACAGAAAACAAGGACCAGTCCAAGGTACCAAACTTCAACCCCTGCTTACCTCGCCTGCCCCTTGGCCATGTCTCATAGCCTGACTAGAGCTATGGATCAATGAACATGGCATAGGGTAGTGGACCTAGGAATTTTTTTCTCCCTGGGAAATAATAAATGCATTAGGATAGTGGTTGGTGACTCTGGCATGGGGTGTCCGTCCTTCCATAGCCCACAGCCAATAGGCCTGGCTAACCCCTTTCCTGTCCCCTTCGCGCTCACGTGGCCGCATGGATAGCCACCGTCACTCAGGAATAAAGCCACATGGGCGTTTGCCTCACCGTGGCATTCCTCCGCGTGCGCCCTATGCCCACAGGGAGGACTGCAAACCACCCTGTGGCCAGCCGGAATGTGGCTGGGGTGAGCAGATACCAGTCAGGTGGGAGGGTATGCAGCCAGCCTCGCCCGTCTCCCCTCCCTGTCAGCATCCAGCAGATTTCAGGCTCGTGGTGAAGCCACTGGCACCTCCAAGGTTTTGCAGTCCTGGGGTGAATATTACCCTCTGTTATGTGCGTTGTCTTAACGTGGTAAGAGCCAGATCTTTGCTCATCCTGTATGGTGACCCCAGCGCAGGCCCAGACACACGTCACTTGAGAGGTGCTTCTCGACAGCTACCATTATCATCACCGGTGGGATGGTTTGTGGAGCACTTATCCTGTGCCAGGCACCATGCTCACAGCCTCGCGGGTAGCAGGTCGCTTTGTCCTTGAGGACACAGCCCTGGGGTTGGTCATATCTGTCCTCATTTTACAGGTGAGGAACTGAGGCTCTGAGAGGCTAAGTACTTAGCCCAAGTGGTAGAAATGGACCTGGGCATCCCTGTCAGTACTCACAGAGTCTGAGGAAAGGGCTCTTGGGATTCAGTTTTGTTTTTGTGGTAAAATACACATAACGTAAAATTTGCCATTGTAGCCATTTTTTTTTTTTTTTTTGAGACAGAGTCTCACTTTGTTGCCCAGGCTAGCGTGAGTGCTGTGGTGTCAGCCTAGGTCACAGCAACCTCAAACTCCTGGGCTCAAGCAATCTTGCTGCCTCAGCCTCCCGAGTAGCTGGGACTACAGGCATGTGCCACCATGCCCAGCTAATTTTTTCTGTATATATTAGTTGCCCAATTAATTGATTTCTATTTATAGTAGAGACGGGGCCTCACTCTTGCTCAGGCTGGTTTCCAACTCCTGACCTCCAGCTATCCGCCTGCTTCGGCCTCCCAGAGTGCTAGGATTATAGGCGTGAGCCACCACGCCCGGCCTGTAGCCATTTTTGAATGTACAGTTTGATGATATTAAATACATCCACATTATTGTGCCACCATCGTCACCATCCACGGAACATTTTCCACCCTGTAACTCTGACCTCTGGACCCCGTGAACGATAACTTCCCCTAGACAGCCTTCCACTTTCTGTTTCTGTGGGCGCTCACACGTTGACCCTTTGTCTGTTTTGCCGCAGAATCTCCCTGGGGTGCCCACCCCAGGCAGCAATGCCAGGATGCCCGTGTCTGCCTCCCTCCGCCAAGAAGGCAGCCAGGAGCGGCCGGTGAGCCTGACGTCCACCAGCTCCTCCTCGGGCTCCTCCCGTGACAGCCGCGGGGCCATGGAGGAGGCCAACGGCTGCGAGGCTCCTGCCCAGAATGGGGCAGGCTCCCCGAGAGGCCGGCATCCCCCCAACAGCAACAACAACTCCAGCAGCTGGCTGAACATGAAGGGGCCCCGGTCCCCATTCAGCAGCCGGGCGGCGGCAGGGTCTGTGCACCACAAGCTCAGCTACCTGGGCCGCGTGGTGCGGGAGATCGTGGAGACGGAGCGCATGTACGTGCAGGACCTGCGCAGCATTGTGGAGGCGAGTGCCTGCTGGAGTCCGCGGGGGCCTGGCCTCTAGTGGCCCGGCTCTCTGGCATAAACCTGTTTTCACCCCAGGAAGGAGGGTTCTCAGATCTGCTTCCCGTGGAGCAGTGGGCAGGCCTCAGGTCTCCAGCCCCCGCTTCCCTGCCCTGTGGAAGCTGATGACTCCCCACGCGTCCTTATGGCGCTGGGCCAGATCAGTGGGTGGGGCCGGCAGAACTTCCTGCAGGTGCCCAGGGAGTAAGCACCGTTGGCAGGGAGAAGAGGGACCCCAGCCTACCTGGGAAGGGGCCTCCAGAGAGACTGTGCCCCGTGGGGACTGAGCACAGTGAAGAAATGGGCTCTGGGCTGGCCTGTTGCATCCGGAAGTCACTCTGTTGCTTCCTGCCTGGGGGTCTCAGGCACACGGGTAACTCCCTGTGGCTCAGGTCTCTCCGCTGTGAAATGAAGACACGCCCACCTTGCAGGGCTAACGTAGGCGAAGTGCTTGACACTGTGCAGGGCACACAGGGAAAGGCCATGCGGCCACTGTTGAGGAGGTCCCCCCCAGCCTTGCTGTGGAGCGAGGTGTATTCGTTGGCTAGGGCTGCTGTAAGAAATTACCACAAACCAGGTAGCTTAAAACAACAGAAATTTATTCCCTCTCAGTTTAGGAGGCCAGAAGTTCAAAATCAAGGAGTTGGCCTGGCTGGCTCCTTCTGGAGTCCCTGAGGGCGGGTGCGTTCCCTGCCGCTCATTTAGCTTCCAGTGGTTGCTGGCAGCGTTGGCGTCCTTGGCCTGGAGATGCATCATTCCAATCTCTTCCCGTCACCTTCTTTGTGTCTTTCTGTGTCTTTCCTCTTACGAGGACACCAGTGGATTTAGGACCCACCCTAAATCCCATATGATGTCATCTTGAGATCCTTAACTCATGACATCTGCAAAGGCCCTATTTCCAAATAATGTCATATTCTAAGGTTCCTAGTGGACATGAATTTTTGGGTGGACACTGTCCAGCCCAGCACCGTAGGTGACATCTGTGAAGTGATATCATAGTGGTGCAGGAATGAGGTGTGGCTAGCAGTGGGGGACAGGATTGTGGCAGCAGGGGCTGGGGTCTGACTGCCTGTCTCCGTGCAGGACTACCTCTTAAAGATCATTGACACGCCCGGGCTGCTGCAGCCAGAACAAGTCAGCGCCCTTTTTGGGAACATAGAAAGCATCTATGCACTGAACAGGTACGTGTGTGGGCCTGGCGCTCTCCATACTCTGCCTGAGACACCCCTTTCGGGGTCTGGGGAGGAGCCCTGCATGTCCCTGGACTCCTGGGCTGTGATGTGGGCCTGGGGCCTGAGCTCTGAGGATGGAGGAGGGTGGTCCAGCCCCGTGCGATGGCGTAGTTGCTCCTGGTAGGAGGGAGGGCACCAGCTGGGAAGATGTGTGCTGGGCTCGATGTGCTTCCTCTCAGGTGGGGGGAGATGATTTGAGGGCGTGTGCGTGTTGGGCCAGCCTGGGCCAGTGCCCTCTTGGGACTGCGGGACCCTTATGCACCAATGCTCTTCTCTATGGGTGGCGCCTTTGTCCTTCTCATCTTCCTTCCCCACATGCCTGTCTCTTAATTTTTTTCCCTCCTTCCCACTGACTCCAAAGGAAGCCGGGGCTCCCTGGAGATGATCTGACCTCTTAGTGGAATGCACAGGCCAGCAAGACTGATGGGGGAGGCTGAACAAGCCTGGCCAGGGGCTGTCTCAGAAAAAAGGAAACTCCTCAAGGCCCAAGGCCGCCGCCCTGGGAACAAAAAACCCCCAGGGAAAGGACAGTGGCCAGGCAGAGCAGAGCTTGAGGGGCAGCATTGGCAGGACAGGAGGGTTCTTACCCCAAAGGTAGACAGAGGGACCTCCGCTGTGTAAGTGGGAGAAGTCTGGGAGGGCAGGGCACAGGCAACACTTAGGCCAATCGTGGAGGGTTGGGAAAAGTGGGGGAGCACAGATGGAGGAGGCAGGGGAGCACCGTTTCTAGAGTTTCCTAGAGCAGCACCCACTAAAAACAATGGGTCTCAGGACTCACCTCTTCTCCCTGCTCCCTGCATCCTTCTGATCTGGGAGCCTTGGTTCCTTCACTAGTCCCCTCTCTTTCTTGTTCCCCTTTAATCTCTGCTTCTGTGTGTTTGACTCCTTCTGCCCGCAGAGGAGCTGGGTCCCCTCCCAGGTGGGTACTGGGGCCCCAGTCCCTCCTGCTTGCCGGGCCGTGGGTCTCCTGGCTTCCTGACTTTATGGAGGTGTGGATTCTTTCTGTGGTTGCTGCCTGGGGCAGGGCTGACTCTGGGCGGAAGCCCGGGCTCTGTGGCATGACAGCTTGCTGTGAGGGGGTCTGGGCATGAGGGGTTTGCAGTGGGGCCCTCTCTGACTGCAGAGGGTACAACAGCGCTCTCCCCCCACCCAGCCAGCTACTCAGAGACCTGGACAGCTGCAATAGTGACCCCGTGGCTGTGGCCAGCTGCTTTGTGGAAAGGGTAAGAAGGCCTGGGTCCTTCCCAGGGGAGTGCAGGGCGTCCTACGCCCCTTCTGGTGAAGAGTGTTTTGGGGCACAGCCAGGCTGCCGGGTGGACGGGATGTCCTAGACAGATGGGTACAAAGATGGATCTGCAGGCACTCCGGGGAAGCAGGACAGCGTGTGCTGTGCAGGCCAGGGGTCTGTGTGGCACCACTGTCTTTACAATCAAACGGGAATCTCCCCAAAATCACTATTTTTGGTCTCTCCTTAGAGCCAAGAGTTTGATATCTACACCCAGTATTGCAACAACTACCCCAAGTGAGTAATTAGGGTATGTGGGAAGCAGAGCCATTTGGGGAGCCCAGAGTCCCTGTCCTCATCCAGGCCTTCCCCAGGTGGTGACACCCCTTCTTCCCTCGCAGCTCCGTGGCCGCCCTGACAGAGTGCATGCGGGACAAGCAGCAGGCCAAGTTCTTCCGGGACCGGCAGGAGGTGCTGCAGCACTCGCTGCCCTTGGGCTCCTACCTGCTGAAGCCAGTCCAGCGCATCCTCAAGTACCACCTGCTGCTCCAGGTGGCCCAGAGGTCCCCCCAGCTCAGCACATGGGTGGGAAGGGGTGGGGTCTTTGGGTCAGGCTCACCTTAACCTCTGTCTTCTGTGTAGGAAATTGCCAAACATTTTGATGAAGAAGAGGACGGCTTTGAGGTGGTGGAGGATGCCATTGACACCATGACCTGTGTGGCCTGGTACATCAACGACATGAAGAGGAGGCACGAGCACGCGGTCCGCCTGCAGGTGCTGGGGTTGTGGGGAGAGATGCAGGGGCCAGTGGGCCAGGGCCTGGGAGAGAGGGACTGGGCCACCCTGCTGGGACGAGCCCAGGGATGGTCTCTTGGGGTCTGGGTGAGCCTCCAGGGCCCGGCAGCCTGACCCTGGGGGTCTGGGCCTCTCTGCTGCAGGAGATTCAGTCGCTGCTCATCAACTGGAAGGGGCCAGACCTGACCATCTATGGGGAGCTCGTCCTGGAGGGCACATTCCGCGTGCACCGCGTGCGCAACGAGAGGACCTTCTTCCTCTTTGACAAAACACTGCTCATCACCAAGAAGCGGGGCGATCACTTTGTGTACAAGGGTCACATCCCGGTAACCAGGCCACCCCATCTCCTTCCCCAGCTCCTTCTCTGCCCCCCCGCCCCCCCCAACCCAGGCCCTTGCGTATGACGCCCTTTCCCTCTGCCCTAGTGCTCCTCCCTGATGCTGATCGAGAGCACCAGAGACTCCCTGTGCTTCACCGTCACCCACTACAAGCACAGCAAGCAGCAGTACAGCATCCAGGTGAGGGCGGGGCTGGGGAACAAGATCCCAAGGACACCTGTCTGTGATTCCTCTCATCTGCTCACCTGGCCTGGGCCCCAGCGGCTCCATCTGTAAAGCAGGGGCCGTTGCAGGCACCCCTCGGCATGGGGAGGAGTCAAGCCAACCTCACAGAGGCCCCAGTAGGGGCCTTCTTTCTACCTCTCCCCACTGGGCATAATGACCTGGGTCCCTTTCCCTTGGACCCTCCCAGGCCAAGACGGTGGAGGAGAAGCGGAGCTGGACTCACCACATCAAGAGGCTCATCCTGGAGAACCACCATGCCACCATTCCCCAGAAGGTGAGCTGCAGGGAGCCCCCAGCCTCCCACGGGGAGAATGTGCCCTTTTGAGCTAGCTCCGGTGGGTCTACTGGGGTACCATCTACTGGGTGCTGGCTCCTCTAGACAGTGGGGTCAGTACAGCAGATGCCATGGGTCTCAGTGCAGCACTGTGGGGTGTCCTGGTACAGCACAAATGGGTCCCTGGGAGAGGGAGGTACAGCACTCTGCAGGGTGGTGACAGGTGGGTTTCCTTCCTTTCCAGGCCAAGGAAGCCATCTTGGAAATGGATTCCTACTGTAAGTGTACCCTTTTCTGCTGGTTTTATCCCTAACTGTGCACATTGCTGGGTCAGGCTGCCCCTGAGGAAGCTTTGCCTGATGCTTTTATTCCAGGAGCAGAAAGGGTAGGGCCAGGGGTCAACTACACAGTTAGGGACATGGTCCTGCTGAGGGGCCCAAAGCTCCCAGGGTGGAGGAAGGAGGGAGCTCGGGAGGCTTCTGGCCCCTGGAGCTGGGCGGGTGGCACAGGTGCAGCCGGTTGCGGGCAGGGTCTAGGCCAAGGCTGGCTGGGAGCCAAAAGCCTGATTGTCTCTGTCCTGGGTGCAGATCCCAATCGGTACCGCTACAGCCCAGAGCGGCTGAAGAAGGCGTGGTCCTCCCAGGACGAAGTGTCCACCCACGTGCGCCAGGGCCGCCGGCAATCTGGTAAGGGAAAGGCTGTAGGCGCGGGAGGCCTCTTCTTTGGACCCTTGGCCAGGCCGGGACCAGCTGCAGCTCTCACCTCTCTAGAAACCCTGAGAAAGGGCAGGAGGGGAGGGTGGATGGACGTGTGTGGTGTGTCCTCCCCCTCTGCTCATGCTGCCACCACCAGGCCCCCCAGGCCCTTCTTGCCCAGCCCCCCACTTCGAAGGCCCTAGGAATACTTGTTCACTCAGGCCCTGGCATCCCTTTTTAGCAGCTGCCTTTTGATGCAAACCTCCCCCTTTTGGCACTCCGAATACCAAGCCAGCCAGGAGCAACTCGGATATCGCGGATGGTCTCCAGCCAGTCCTCGAGCAACAGAGCAGAAGCAGGACGTGGGGAAAATGAGTTAGACTGCAAGTGGCACCAAAACCAGACAGGAAATATTGACTTTGGGTCTCAGGGAAAAGTTCCATCTCTCTCTCCTGGTTTTCTTCCATCACTGATGTTGCTACCGTGTTCTTGGACTTCTTGGAATGAATCGTCTATTTAAAATGAGAAAATCTGGCTTTTGCTCTTAGCTCTGTGGCAGTGAGAGTATGTGATATCTATGTCTGTTTTTTTGCTCCTGTTTCATCGTGGACCAGGCTGGGTCTGGCATAAGCCAGGTGCCTACCAAATGTATACCTGAGGGTGGGGAGTGAGTGAGAACTGTCTTAAGACCCGGAGAGAGAGAGATTCTAGAGTGACTGAGAGCAGTGTCCTGGCTGGGACTCATATGGGTACTGGGTTTTGATTGGCCATGACCCATGGGCCCTCTGAACACGTGTGTGCATTGACTTGTGGGCTTTGGCCTTCTGGAAGGTGGAACCAGGTGGTTTCAGGAAAGCCTTTGTTTTTTTGTGTTGTTTGGTGTTGCTCTGGGTGGAACTAGAACCTTAGGCAACCTAGCTATGGGTGTAACAGTTTGATGGTTGAAGGCCCCACATTGGGAGTATTGTTTCTTAGTCTCTGGCTCTCTTTCTTTCCTTTCCTTTCTTCTCCTGTAATTCTCTCCCTTAACTTGCCATGGCATAGAGTTGGAAGCTTCTGGTACATGAAAGTATTCAGCAAGCAATAATGTTGGTTGTAGTAAAAGCAACTCTGTAATAATGTCAGCATCCACACCTTAGCTATGGATGCACAATTCTGAATATGCTTACATTGTACACTTTAAGAAATGGGTGAATTGCATGGTCTATGAATAATATCTCAGTAAAGCCATTACCAAAAAAAAAAAAAAAAAAAGTTAGCTATCCCAGGCATGCAGGAAATGAGCCATTTTAGAGAGCCGAAATATCCACATGGCTGAGATTTGAGCTTGTAAACACTAGAAGAGCAGGCATTTCTAAAATTTGTTCGTTGGTTTTTTTTGTTTGTTTGTTTGTTTTACCTCTTAGGAAACAGACATAAACATCTCTAAAGCATGTCTTGTACTCTTCTAAAATAAAGGGTGCTGACCACAGGTGACCTCTTCCTTTTCTGGAGTCGGTGCGGCAGCATCACTTCTGCTGTGTGAGCTGCCAGGCGGGCGGGGGTTGCCCTAGACACAGCCCGCACGCAAGGTGTGGTTCCTCCGCACGGTTCTTCTGCAGCTGGGAAAAACGTTCATTCTCATCGGTCTGAGCATATTTGTTTGCAGCATCCCTTCTTCCCCATCTGTCTGTTGGTATTTACTAGATGAACCCATGGGAACTGTGTGTAAAAGTAGACCAGGGGTCGCTGAGACAGAGGAGCTGGGCTGTGTGCAGGAGGAGCTTTGGCGCTGGGCTCGGCCGTCCACTCTGACTGCTCCAGGTCGTCTCTGCTTCCTCCTTGCAGAGAGCTGAAGTGGGCAGACAAGTGCCCTGTGTGGACAAGCAAGGTCTATCGTTGTATCTTAAATATTTGTCACTTGTTAAATATTCTTGATTACATGTTTTAAAATGAAAGAACAGGAGCTTTTCTGTTTCCTACTAAAAAGCAATTAGTTGTTTGCATACGTCGATGCAGATGGAGTGTGTGTCTGTCGTGTTTGTGCGTCTCAGGAGAAAGGGAGCTCTTCCATAGACTCTCCTGCCGAGGGACAGCTAAGAGACCTTGGTAGACTTTCCTTCTGGCTCCAAGTTCATAGGAACCGTGGCCATCCCTGGGCCTCCCACTGAACACAGCTGGGCAACGATAGGGGTGGGCTGAGGCCAAGGCTCTGGAGAGCGGTACCTTGAGACAACATCCTCTCACTCCTCCCCTCCGTTCTCAGTGTGTCCCCAGAAAGGCTGGGGTGCAAGGGGATGGCACCTTCAGCCTAATGGGTGTGTTTTGTATCCTGTCCCCAGAGCCTGGCCACTCCCCGTACCGCCGGGCAACACTCCCCAGCGAGCAGCGAGGCTTCCTGACGCCAGGCCTTCAGGGCCGCAGGAAGTCGGGTGCGACCTCTGCTTTCCAGCTGGGGTGCTGTCAGGGGCTTGGCGGTGGCTGCAGCTAGTGTGCTGATGGGCTTGTTGCAAGGGAGGTGGGGGCTTGAGGTAGAGCCAGAGATGTGGCTGGCTGTCTGAAGGGCAGCATGAGGCTTGGTCCCCTTGAAGAGGCTCCTGCGCCATGGGCCCTGGGCGGGGCATGCTAATGCAGGGACCCTGGGCAGTGCTGCTCCTGTGGGGCTGGTGGTCACAGTGAAAGTCCCTGGAGCTGGACGGGCCCTGCCTACCTGGTGGGCGGGCATGAGGGCGCTCACTGACGCTGGAGGGCAGCCTCCCCGAGGCCCTAGTGCTGCTGGGGGCAGGCCAGTGTGGACTTTGAGCTGGTGATGGGCTGGCGGCGCTGTGAGCTTGGGAGGGCCGGGCCAGCTGTCTCCTGCCTGTGCTGACCGCCCGTCTGCTTTCCTCCTCAGAGCCGACCAAACATCTGCTCAGGCACGCGAACGAGAAAGGTGAGCGTGCGCGGGGTGCGCAGCCGATCCCTTTGAGCTGGGGGAAGAGGGCAGCAGGTACCCACCTGGGGAGGGGTTTGCCGAGAACAGTTCAGAGGGGACTCTGCCCCTGTTGCTGTCTGAGGGGCGCTGGAGCTCTCCCCGCAGGCATGGCGTGCCCCCTCCCCCTCTCCTCGGTAACAGCAGGAGCCAAGCGACAGGCGCAGACTCGCTCTGCGTCCCTGGGCTCCTGTTCCATCAGTCGGTCCTTTGGAAGCCCAAGAGACTGGGTGAGGGTTCTGGGAGCAGGATTCCCCATCGGGGCCGTCCCCTTTGGCCTCCGTACGAGGCTCTTTCTCCTGCTCATTGATCTCTTTCCCCTCCCTGCCCCTCGCTCGCGTGCTGGGGACCTGGCGGTGGTGTTAGCAGCCAGCGAAGCAGGAATGAAGGTGAGGCCACTGGGCAGTGGGGGCCAGGGAGGGTACAGGGTGGGACTGCCCAGCTCAGCCCCTGGCCCCGCAGCCCTCCTTGTCCTCATTCACGCAACACATACCTGTCAAACACCCACCACGTGTGCCAGGCCAGGCTCCGTGGCACAGGGGTCACGGAGATGAACGAGACATGGCCCTTGCCCTGGGACCCTTTTGCCCCTGCGGGTGGCTGCCCAGCCTGGATTCTCTTACATTTCCTGCTCCTGTCCGGACCCCTGTGGAGACCCAGGGTTGGGCATGTAGATTTGGCTGTCGGGGTGAAGCCTCCCCACCCCCAACTGCCCACAGGAGAAGGGGACATTGCCCAAGAGGCTGGTCACGAGGGGGTCTTGTGCTCTGAACAGCATGCAGGCAGCGCTGGCACCCTCCTGGACTTTGAGCAGCCCCCCCGTACACGGGGCCTGCAGCCAGAGGCTGAGGGGGCTGCTCAGGAGGGGCAGGAGGAAGAGGAGGAGGTGGTCGAGGAGGAGGAGGAGGAGGAAGAGCAGGCCTTTCAGGTTTCTCTGGAGGACCTGGCAGGGCATGAAGGCAGCGAGAAGGGGACTGGGCCAGAGCCCCCAGGCTCGGAGGAGGAGGAGGAGGAGGAGGAGGAGAGCCTGGCAGTGGCGGAGCAGGTAGCCGACTTTGCCAGCTCCCTGCTGGCCGCCCTCCACTGCTGGCACTATCGGGCCAACGCTTTACTTTTCTCCCGGGGCGCTATGGTGAGGTGTCTCTCTGATCTCCCCTCCTCCTTGCATGTTCCCTGGCACGTGCATGCCCCTCAAGAATCCCCTCCACTCCCCTCCCACCCGCCCTGGCTCCTGTACTCCTGCCCTCAGCACCTCTTAACCCCTCGCTCGCTGTCACACCCTGGTGAGCCCCTGGCATGTGCTGCTCCAGTGTCGGGCGCTAACCAGTGTAACACCCAGGGGGCATGATGAATGGGGTGGGCTGGTGGGGGAAGGGAGAGGCTGGCACACGGTTGGGCTGGGAAGGTCAGGTCCACCTGGCCTGGAAGGGAAGGTGAGCTGGGCTGTTCAGAAGCCGTGTGCCTGGCAAGGATTTATACGGCCTCAGGCCTGGCAGTTCTGATTGGCTCTGGACTGGCTCAGGGCAGCCCAGCCCCCCGGAGGCCCAGGAGGTGCTGCCCATGTTGGGATGCAGAAGGGAGGAGCTCTCAATTGTCCTGGAGTTGACAACTGACCTTTACTTCCTGCAGGGGAAGGGGCGCAGGGAGTCCGAAGGCCCCAAGAGCTGCAGAAGGCCCAGTGGCCGGTCCCCAACCAGTGCTGAGAAGCGCATGAGCTTCGAGTCCGTCTCTTCCCTGCCAGAGGTGAGCGACCAGCAGGTGGGATGGGGATAGTACAGATGTACCTGGAGCCCAGATCCCCAGGGCTGCACGTGCAGCTTTCAGGCCTGGGCTTTCCGGTTGGGCCAATGGGAACAGAGATTCCCCAACCCCTAGGACTCTTGTCCCTTCAGGAAGCCTGTAGGCCTAAGGGTATGTGGTTTGATGAGCAGACTGCCCCTTCCTGTGAATTAGAAAAAGATGCTCCTTCCTTTGGGCAGATGCAGTTCTGTGCCAAGGGGCACAGCTAGTGGAAATGAACCAGATTTTAACCCCCTTGGCCAGCCACCTTGTTAGGGCACACGACCCTGCCCTGCCAGGATGCCAGACATTTAAATCACACCCGGGCAAAGGGGTAGGGTATTGGCTTCTATTGGTCACCTCCTACATGACCGATGTTTTCTCCTCTTCCTTCTATTCCCCATAAGAGCTCTAGAAGGAAAATGGCTCTGAGAGGTTGATAATGTGCCTGGCCCTGGGCAGCTTCTGAGATCAAGCTTGGGTGTCTGACTCGGCCCGCTCTGCTCGTCCCATCACCCCCTGCCGTCTGCGGCTTGTGCGGAGCTCTGAGTCCTTTGCTTTCCCAAAATTATAAGGGAAAGGTCATGAGCTAGACCTAGACCTCATGTTGGGCCTCACAGCCGGGCCTGGGAAGCCCGGTTAACGTGGGGTAGGGATGTAGCAGGTGTCTTAGTGGGTTCGGTTCGGGCTGCTATAACAGAACGCCTTAGGCTGGGTAGCTTGTAAATGACAGACATTCATTCGTGTTCCGGAGGCTGGGAATTCTCACATCGAGGTGCCAGCAGGTTTGGTGTCTGGTGAGGGCTTGCTCTCTGCTTCGTAGATGACACCTCCCTGCTGTCCTCACATGGGGCAGGCAGGTAAGCTCCCTCGAGCCTCTTCGATGAGGGCACAGAGCCCATTCGTGAGGGGGCAGCTGGTGGCTACAGTGTTGGACGGTGCAGGTTATGAGTCCTACCCTGCAGATTCTGGAGTAGAACAAATGGGATCAGACCCAAGTCCTCAGAATTTAGTGTTTGTTCTTATCTTCTCCCTAAAGACCTCTCTGGAAAGCTGCCTGTCCCTGCCAGTTTTATGGTTCAAATTGCCTCCAGGGTGGCCAAGAGGGAATTCTCATGTTTACCTCCTTCCTTGCCCGTTTGCCGGGCATATGCAGTCATGCTGGGCCTGCAGGTGCTGAGGCTGGCTGGGAGGAGCCACCTTCCTGGTCCTCACCCTCTGACAGGACCCCAGCATGTGGCCATGATGCCCTCTGGACCCTGACCCACACGGAGGGCCCTGGCCCCTCAGAGAAATTGGAATGGCCTATCCTGTTGCTCAGGCCTGGGTTTGCACCCCAAAACCCCCACATGGGGAGCCTCTGGGGCTTTAGGAAGCTGCCTTCCCATCAGATGGGAGCAGGCCACTGGGTGCCTGACCCGGCGTTGTGTGTCCCCACCATGGCCCTGTGGCTCCCAGGCAGGCTGCCCTTCAAGTGTCACCAGCCTACGCCATCTGCATTCCTAGTGTTTTCCTTGGGTTTGAGGGTGTGGGCCCAGGACCCCAGCTGCAGGGTGACTAAAGGACATGATCATGTTCCTCTCCCTAAGGCCCCATCGCCCCACTTTGGGTTGTGCTCATTCTGGTTGCCTTGAGTCCTAAACTGCAGGCCTCCCTGGGCTTTGAGCAGACTGTGTTGTCCCCTCAGCCCCCAGGTCTCATGAAGGAGGGTTTTTACTCATGTGAGCTCCCTCCGCGATATTACAGGTTGAGCCAGATGCCGAGCCTGGGGCCGAGCAGGAGGTGTTTGCCACTGTGGAAGGCGCCGGCGCCGAGGAGATGCCTTCAGACACAGAGTCTCCAGAAGCACTGGAGACACAGCTTGACGCCCACCAGGGGCTGCTGGGGATGGACCACCCGGGTGACATGGGGGACTTCGCGGTGGCTGAGAGCACCGAGGACCTTAAGGCCCTGAGCAGTGAGGAGGAGGAAGAAATAGGGGTCGCCCAGGAGCCCGAGAGCCTCCTGCCACCCTCCGTGCTAGACCAGGCCAGCGTCATTGCTGAGAGATTCGTCAGCAGCTTCTCCCAGCGGAGCAGCCTGGCGCTGGAGGACGGCAGGTCCAGCGGCTTCGGGACCCCACGGCTGGTCAGCCGCAGCAGCAGCGTACTCAGCCTGGAGGGCAGCGAGAAGGGCCTGGCCCGGCGTGGCAGTGCCTCTGACTCCCTCAGCTGTCAGCTCCCCCCAGAAGTGGGTGGCACTGTGGGGGCAGCCACAGAGGACGGCCCTGCTGTCAACGGGACAGAGCCCCCAAACTCGGGCTGCCCTGTGGAGCCTGACAGGCCTTCCGGTAAGAAGAAGGAATCCGTGCTCTCCACCCAAGACCGGCTGCTGCTGGACAGAATTAAGAGCTATTATGAAAATGCGGAGCACCACGATGCGGGCTTTAGCGTCCGGCGCCGGGAGAGCCTCTCCTACATCCCCAAAGGACTGGTGAGAAACTCGGTCTCCAGGTTCAACAGCCTGCCCAGGCCAGACCCGGAGCCGCTGGCCCCAGAGGGGCGCAAGAGACAAGTGGGCTCCCGGCCGGCTTCGTGGGCTCTGTTTGATCTCCCAGGACCAAGCCAGGCAGGCACAGAGGACCCGCCTCCTATCACAGATGCTGAGTTCCGCCCGTCTTCCGAAATTGTGAAGATCTGGGAGGGGATGGAGTCTTCCGGGGGGAGCCCTCGGAAGGGGCCGGGCCATGGCCAGGCCAACGGCTTCGACCTGCACGAGCCGCTCCTCATCCTGGAGGAGCACGAGCTGGGAGCCATCACCGAGGAGTCGGCCACCGCCTCTCCGGAAAGCGCCTCGCCCACCGAGCGGCCCAGCCCGGCCCACCTGGCGCGGGAGCTGAAGGAGCTGGTGAAGGAGCTGAGCAGCGGCGCCCAGGGGGAGCTGGTGGCCCCGCTGCACCCCCGCATCGTGCAGCTCTCCCACGTGATGGACAGCCACGTGAGCGAGCGCGTCAAGAACAAGGTGTACCAGCTGGCCCGCCAGTACAGCCTCCGCATCAAGAGCAGCAAGTCGGCCAGGCCACCCCTACCGTGGGACAAGGCGGCTCCCGAGAGGGATGGGAAGAGAGCCACCGTTCCCTGCCTACAGGAGGAGGCTTGGGAGCCATCTGGTGGCAAAGGTATGACCAGAGTGGGGAGTGAGCCCTTCTCGCAAGTCTGGGCGTTAAAGAGGCAATGAGGAGCCACTTGGCTCCTAGGGGAAAGTGGTCTCTGAAAGCCTCTAACAGAGAGAGGAGCTGGACCCTGAGCACCCGGGGCATGGGGTGAGCCCTGGCCACCGGGCCAAGGTCTGCACTCCTAGGAGCCCTTTTGATGCCCTCTGCTCCAGCCCTTCCTGGGGAGCAGAGACCTTTGGGGGAACTGGCCATGGGCCCCTTCTGTACCAGGATGGGGCAGAAGCTTTCTTCTCTTCCTCTGCCTCTGGGCCCCTTCCACTGCCGCCTTCTTCCCATTGCCCTTTGACAGGGGCTGTAGGTGGTAAATGAGATTCCTTTCCCATCACACCCCAAACTCCAGCAGCCAGCCTTGCCTGGAAGTGAGGTGGGGATGGCTCAGAGTCTCCCTGGCAGCTCTCCCGTCCTGCCCAGGGATTCAGGCAGCCTCCTCTCTCCTCGCAGGTAAGAGGAAGCCGGTGCTGTCCCTCTTCGACTATGAGCCTCTGGTGGTCCAGGAGCATAGCCCCCCCAAGTCCTCCTCTGCCGGGGAGACGGCACCGCCGAGTTTCTCCTTCAGCCCTTCTGCTGCCAGCCCGAGGACCACCTCGCCTGGGGCCCGGCCCTCCTCCCGGAGCCCCCGAAGCCCCTTCGACACTGAGACCTTCAACTGGCCCGATGTCCGAGAGCTCTGCTCCAAGTACGCCTCCCACGATGAGGCTCTCCGGGCTGAGGGCAGCCAGCCCCGTGGCCCCCCCGTCAACCGGAGCCGCTCATTGCCCGAGAACATAGTGGAGCCGCCTCGGTCTGGCAGGGTGGACCGCTCCTGCAGCCTGAACACCAAGAGGGGCAAGGGAGGCGGAGAGGCTGCCCAGCCCCAGCCCCCCCGATCTCCACCCCAAATCGGGACAGATGGAGGTGAGGCCTTGTTTGTCACCGCAGACCTCATCCTGGAGGACAACCGGCGGGTGATTGTCATGGAGAAGGGGCCCCTTCCTGGCCCCACTGCAGGGCTGGAGGAGGAGGGCGGGGGACAGGGACTAAGCTCACCAGCGGCCCCGGTGGGGCAGGGCCAGGATTTCCAGGAGTCTGTAGCGTGCCGGCCGAAGGAAGAGGGCGCGAGGGACCCAACAGACCCCAGCCAGCAGGGCAGAGTGAGAAACCTGAGAGAGAAATTCCAGGCCTTGAACTCTGTGGGTTGACTCTGACTCCTGGGGGAAGGAGTCACGCTGGAGGTTGGGAAGAGCCTGGGTCACAGGAGCCCTGCCCAGGGCCTGCGGAAGGCTGTCCCCTCTGCTGTCCTGGAAGCCGGCTCCCATGTGGGGTGGACTCGCTGCTGCCTGTGCCGCGTGCTGGTGCAGCCCCCCACAGGCCCCATGAGCCACTCTTCCCCTCTGAGGCCCATGTGCCACTTCCCTTGTACATAGTTCTTCTCCCGTAAGAAGCCAAATATTTAAGCTCACCTCTTCCCAGGAAGAGCAAGCTCTGCTCAGGCCACTGCCAGCCCGAGGAACCCACCCCAGGGCGACTTGGGAAGGGGCCTGGAGGTCCTTGCTCTTTAACTGTGCCTTTCCTTAGGATCCAGGCAGGAATGAAGCCAATAATTTATTGCTTTCCATTCTGTGGTGTGTGCGCGCACATGTGAGTGTGTGTCCTCCTGTTGTTTATGCCCCTCCTGTGAGGACTGTAACAGATTCCGTTCAGGTACGCTGAGGGTTGTCTCGCTGACCCTGTGGTTGTCGCTAATGTACACACATTTCATTATTTGCCAATGGTGCAATAACCGCTGCTGACCAACTGACCAGTGTGTGGCCTCCTCACTGGGCTGGCGGGGTGGGGAGCGTTGTTCGTGGGCCAGGGGTGTCTCAGGGAGGCAGGGACATGGGGGTTGTTCCTTCCACACCCGTTCATCGTCCAGGCTAACGACGCCTGAGGCAGCAGGGTGCTGGCAGGGGAGGTGGGATGTCGAGGGTGGGAACTTGCTCTCCTGCTCCCATGGGTTTCTCTGTCCACCCACGGCCGGCTGTCCTGTCTGGGGTGGGGACCCCACATGCCAGCCTTTAGCTTTCTTCCCCAAGAGGCCAAAGTTGGACTAAAAGGGGTGGGGAGGTGAATGGAACATTTTTCTAAGGAGCGGACGTTTCCGATGTCTGGTGCCTTTGCTCTCCTCTCCCTCTCTGGTTCCCACGAGACATCTGGGAAGGCAAGGACTCTAAACTTGGAGCCTAGAAATATCTTAAAAAGTGGCTGCAGCATTGGGCGACGAGTCCAAGTGTACTTTTCTGGGATGGGTCCTCTGTTTTTATTGCATTCTTAAAAATGTCTTCAAAAGAGCTGGGAATGTCTCCTGGTTTCACTTGGGTTTTCTGCCCTCTCTCTGTGGAGGACCAGCCTTGTTTTGCCTGGTTGGTTCTGGGAGGGGCCTGGTAGGAGGGGTCTGCAGGGCCCAGGTGGCAGAGCTGACTGACGAGTGTTCCCACAGGTCTTGGGGTCAGGGTCCCTTGAGACTTGTGACCTAGGAGCACACTCAACCTGCAGATGGGCCTGCGGAGTCTAGCAAGGTCCAGGGAGGATGAGAGGCAAGTGTTGGTCTCTTTTGGGCAGCAGCAGCATGGGGCAGTGATGCTGTGTTCTGCCACCTCCCCCGAGTCTTCTGTGGTCACTTCCACAGTCACTGAGAAGAGAATTGGCTCCTCCCAGGCCAGTCTCAGGATGTGACGCTGAGTGGCCGCAGTGTGAGAGGCAACCCAGGTTCTCATCCCAGCCTTGCCATTAGCTGGCTGGGTCACCTACACTTTTTTCTCATCTATATGTTGAAAGATGGATGAGTCACTGTGTCCCAAACTCCAGTGGGGACTCTTAGTTGTAGCTAACCCCTCCCCCTGGAGGCCCTCACACAGCCATCCAGGTGTGTCTGGGAACCTGGGACTGGGACAACGGCTGTCACCAGCTGCCCGTTCGAATAACCTGGGGAGCCTTCTGAGGACTGGCAGTGCCTGCGTCCATCCCCTAGACCCCGTGAAGCTGCCCCCCGAGATGAACCCAGGTGTAGAGATGCTGGTGATTCTGTCATCCAGCGGGTGCTGAGATCTGCCCTGAGCTCCATGGGGAAAGGCCTGGACCAATCTTTGCTTAGAAAGGATTTTGCTCATCAGCAGGCTGCGAGTTGATGAAATGCACAAGTGAGCAAGCTTTTCCCAGGGACAAACCAGAGAGTCTGGCTGTCCCTCTGTCCCCATGGTGTCAGCCCTGTTAGGCCCAGTGCAAAGAGAAATGAGTCTAGTCAAATAAGAAACAGATATGGAGCATTATTGATTTATTAGAAAAACTAGTAAATGGGTTTCCTCTGGTTGGTGGAAGCACAGTTGAGCAGGTGGAGGACATGGCCCAGCCGGCCCCAGGGCCAGCCCAGATTGCATGGTCTGTGCCCAGCTGGGTTGCTTTCCTCTGCAGCCACCTTGTGTCCTCCCTGAGCTTGCTTGTCCAAGGGACCAAGCTGTGTGGTCCTCTGGCCTCTTCCTCCTCTGGATTTCTGTCCCTTCCCACTGAGGGAGGAAGGGGAGCCAGGACCAGCCTAGGGGACGCTGGCTGGCCCTGATAGGCAGGAAGTGGGGCAGGGGGTGAGGAGGGGAAGCTGAGCTTTGCATAGGCCTCCCATGTGGGTGCCAGTGGAGGTGTGTTGGGGGAGCCCAAGGACCTCCGTACCTCAGTTGAGGCCCAGGGATGCAGAGGAAGGGGAAGGGGGAGGAGGACCGCCTGGCCATTCCCAGAAGGAGCTTCCTCTGAACCGCCCTGGGGAGGAAGCCCGTTATGCTGGTGTGGACTAGAGCTGTGTCAGCCTGTTTGGGAGTGCCGTCAAAGACCAGATCGCAGACATGGAGGAGCAAGAAAGAAACCTTGCCAGGGCACCAGCAGAGCTTAGCCCTGGTGTGGCACAGGGTCTCCCAAAGCTGGGCACCCACGGTCTCAGTCCAGTTGGTCAAGTGTCTCGGGGCCTGGGTGATGGGGGAGGGATGCGCGGGGAGCTGGCAAGAGATGGTGGGTCACATGCAGCTGGCCGCCCTTGCCCCATCCAGGGCACCCGGGGTGGTAGAGTCCTAGCTCTTCCATTGGAGCCCTTTCTTTTCTTAGGTCTGTGGAGTTGCTTGCTGGAAATTCTCACGTTAAGTGCTACTTTGGCACACATAGGGGGGAGAGGGGGGCCCTTGTCCCTTGGCTCCCTAAGGACTGGCCCAGGGAAACAGCTGAGGGAGGTGCACCTCTACCCTTCAGCAAGGAACCTGCTCTCTGCCCCAGAGAAGGACATGCCCTTGACTGCACCAAAGGCCACCGTTATTGCTGGGTGAGTGTAGTCACTGCACTGCCTTGGTTTCCCCAGATGTAGGAGGAGGCTGGTGAACCGATACACACTAGGTTCCCTGTAGGAGCAGAGCGCGATGGGGTCACAGGTGTTGAGGCCGAATGGAGACCCCAGCGACAGAGGTGGCAACGTCTGCCCTGGAGATGTCAGGCTGCATTGGATAACTCTTCCCTCGTGTGGTCCTGTCCACGGAAGTTGGCCTCACCCTGACGTGGTCAGGGCCACAGTGTGGACTGGATCTGCGCTGTGCCCGCACCGGTCAGTGCTAAGCATTCCTGGGAAGGCCTCGTTATTCCTGATGCCCGCCCCTGGGGCTTCTACCCGACCCTCACCCTCTTCATCTACACGTATCTAAGGCTCCTTCCCCTGGAGAAGGTGGTAGAAAGAGTGACCGCAGGCCCTGGGGACCTTCCTGGTCTCCCTGGGGGGAAACACCTTTTGCCCCTAACTTGACACCTCTTTTTTAAGATACTGGGCTGGAAGCCTGTTGCTTTCAGAGTAGAGTGGCGGGGAAGATCCTTGTGGAATGAATGGTCTCTCTCCAGAAGTCTGACCATGGCAGCACGGGATGCCCATCCCTAGGGACGTAGATTGCAGAGCCCCATCCACTGTTGGGGATGGAGGGTGGTAGATGTTTGACCTCTGTACTCATGTGACCCTCAAGACCCAAAGCCAGGACCTTCAGGAGAAGCCAGCTTATGCCACATGAGTGGTAACACCTAGGCGTGGCCACATTTGCCACCCTAAGGTGGTAGGGGATCAGCTTTGCTGCCTGTCCAGTCAATACCCCACAATGGTACCAGCAGCAGACAGGACACAATTAGGCCTTTGGTTCTGGATGCTTCAGTCCAGGTGCTGGGCTGTGCATCTCGTGTCCTGGGGGTCTAACGCTGTCTCCCTAGGGGGCCCTGTGTCTGGTGGGTATTGCTGGTTTGGCTGCTACTGAGAGCGGGGAGGGTCCCAGCATGGAGAGGCAGAGCCTCAGGCAGTGTGAGACCTATCTGTCACCCCCCAGGTCTGAGCCCTGAGCGCTAGGCTCTCATGGGTTAGATGGTTTAGAGGAGGATGGTTTGAACTTGCCCATCCTCCCTTCACCTCCGTGATGGGAGCAGTGGGTACTGGAGGTGGCAGGAGGCATGTTCAGTCAGGACGCAGCAACCTTGCAGGGTGCTCTCCTTTATGGTGGGAGGAGGAGCGGGGAAGGGATGTGGTGGCCCCTGAGGTGAGAGGCCCAGTTCCGAGGAAGCCTAGCGCAGAAGAGGCTGGCGGCACCCGGGGCCCTGCATGTGGTCTTGTCCCCTCAGTCCCTTGCAACCCACCGAAGGCTCCTTCCTCATGTCCCTAGGGGGCAGGCCAGGCGCGTCCAGTGTCCTCTTCCCTTTCCCTTTCCTTGGCGGCAACCAGGTGGGAGGTGACCCCAAGCAAAGACTTGCTTTGGGGATGGGCAGCATTTGAGGAACCCCTCAGCCACCTTCTCCAGCTTTTATGGGGGTAGGGGACTGGTGGGCCCCCAGCTCGGGAGGAGGGCGGGAGAGAGGAGGGCGTGTGCCTTAGAGAACCGTTTCCCACCCCCAGGCCTAGAGGCCCCCGGGGGCACCAGAGGAGCCGGAGCCCTGTCTGCGGGGCACCCGGTGGGCGGGCGAAGGCAGCTCTTGCCGTGCAGCAGGCGACTCGGCCTGGAGCTGGCCGGCGGGAGGAGGACCCACCCGCGGGGGCCACCAGGAGCTACTTCTTTTTGGGGAAGAAGCTGAATCTCTTCTCCTTGTCCTTCTTGCCGAGGCTGGTGTCCGTGCTGGCGAGGGAGGTCAGGGGCATGCTCTGCGCCTTGACACGGATGCTTTGGGACTCGTTGATGGCGGTGCTCACGCCCTGCAGCCAGGACAGCATCTCCTCCTGCGGGGCGTGAGGTCAGCACCAGTCTGGGAGGCACCACACTCCAGCACCCACACTCCCGCCCCACCAACGAAGGGTGCCCCAGGACTGCTCATTTGGAGGGAGCCTTAAGAACAAGTGGCTCGGGTCTCCACCTGACACTTTGCTAGCCACGTCTGGGCTAGGCTGCACCCCCACCCCACCTGCTTACCTCGTCCTTGCCATGGAAGAGCCACTCGCTGCCATTACTCAGCCTAGGAGGACAAAAGGTTTCTCGTCATGTGGCTACCTCAGGGGGCCTGGGCAGAGGGCTGGCTCTGCTCACACAGTCCCCTAAGCCTAATACCCAGAACCTTCCCAGGAGCCCACAGCACCTTCTGAGAGGCAAGAGTCTGGACCAGCAGCCTCTTTGATATGAAAAATCCCTGAGGAGCAGCAGATCCTGGAGCTGGTCCCATGCAATAGACCTCACCCTGGCCTTGAACTAAGGCCAAATTGGGCCATCGACCTGAGGATTCAGGCCCAGGGAAGGGGCAGTGAACAGGAAGACTCACCTCAGCTTAAAGACA